TAAATCTCAAATTTTCTTTTTAACCTCTGTGCTGTACTGAAATTAATTTTGTTGGCCTCCCAATTGTAGTTAATGTTCATTAACATTAGAACATCCAGAACATTTGGTGACATGTGATCTCCCAATGGTTGGACAAATCCTTAATAGAGGTTCTACATTCCTGTCACTACTGACCCTCCTAGGTTCTTCAGCGTGGCTAGCTTTGGCCTCATTTTTTTGAGCTTTATACATTGCCCTCTTTGAACTGCCCAGAGGGATCCCAACTTTGGCGCTCATCCATGTCCTAGGCTTTCCTTTGAAATCTTTTCTTGGTGGAATCCTCTAACCCCAAAGTTCATGTATATGATGCCAAGGTCTACCACTAGCTCAAGCCCTTTTGGACCTTGGCCTTGATTACCTGAATGACTAAATGGAGGGAAACACTTTTAGGTACCACATGGAAGCAGAGTTCTTTGTTTCACAAAGTCTTTCAAATAGGTTTATTCCTTAACATTCTTTAGATGGATGGGATCTGGCCAGTTCCTCAGAAGCTTCAAGACACCATTCCTATTGTGGATATGCAAAATACTTGCCCTCCCCTTTCTTTGCCAGTCCTGGGGTTTGAACTCAGGGCACTGTCCCTGAGCTTCTTTTGCTCAAGGTTAGCACTCTACCACTTGAGCCACAACACCATTTCTGGCTTTTTCTGTTTATGTGGTACTGAGGAATCATGCATGCTAGGCAAGCATTCTACCACTAAGCCACATTCCCAGCCCTAGATGAGAGATTTTTTTAACTCAGCCTCCCACAAAGTCTCAGGGCATAAACAAAAAATATAGATGAATTCTGTGCCACAATGTAACATGAGTGTACAATTCTTCATAGAATCTTTCCCATCTGAAGCCTCATGAGCATAGTCTTGACTGCACACATTCCTTTCAGCATTCTGGTTCTGAGGGCCTGACAGAATCATCCATTGAACTCTATTGAATAGCACTTTACATTTTTTTTCTAGCCTCCCAATTTTCTCCAAGCCTCCCACAAACCATTTGGCAAAGCTTCTGAACCACATGGTTGGATGTAGTCTCAAAAACAGCCCCAGTTTTTTTTTTCAGTGTTTTAGCATTTTATCATTACAGTATACCTGAGATGAACAAGTACAACCTAAGGGAGGAGGGATTTTCTTTGGCTCACAGTTTTAGTCCTTGGTCATCTAGCTGCTTTGTGGGCCTGAGGCAAGGCTGAAAGAAACTTGATAGCAGTTCACCTGGTAAACCAGAGAAGGGAGGGAGGAACCAGGGAAAAAGTAAATTTAAGGGATATGCCTCCAGTGACAAACCTTTAACTGGGCCTCACTCCCTAGTTTTCACCACCTCCCAATAATGCCATAAAACTGGGAATCCATCACTGTATTAACCATTGGTGTTAGAATCCACATTATTCTCTCACTTCCCCTATAACTCTTACGAACTGGCAACCCGCCTTTAACACACGAGTGATTTGGTGAAACACTTCATATACAAATCATAATAGATGGGGTTGGGAAGGTGGCTCAGTGGTAGAGTGCTTGCCTTGCATGCTTGAGGCCCGCCCTGCGTTCGATTCCTCGCACCACATAAGCAGAAAAAGTGGCGCTGTGGCTCAAGTGGTAGAGTGCTAGCCTTGAGCTGAAGAGCTGAGGGACAGCACCCAGGCCGAGTTCAAGCCCCATGACTGGCCAAAAAAAAAAAAAAAACATTAAAGTAACATTTAATTTCTGGGGTTAAAAATAGCAAATTCTTCAGTATAAAGGAAACTGTCAATAAGGGCAGTTAAGTAGATGTCTGAATGCACCAGTACAGTAGACTTAGCTCTATATTAATGATCTTCTTTTACCCTGATCCTTTTCAGATGCCTACCAAGAACATTTCTTGGCTTTGGTGTTCTTCATGAGGAAGGAACAAACCCTGACCACTAGAAGCTCACTTTCAGTAGGGGAGACAGGAGGTATTAAGAAAAGGATTAAGGGTCTTGACAGGAAGTGAAATTTTATCTGAGTGACAATAATATGATCAGCTTTCCAGTACAAGTCAGTAGGAACAAATGATAAGAAACAACAGACTTGGAGGAATTACAAGCTTCTTGAGTTGCTTGTTACTAGGTAGCAACTGATGAGCTCATAAAAGTTTTGAGATTAGATAACAGAATATTAAGTTTCTAACAGAATCCTCAAATTTGATCTCAAGAGCAAACAGTTAAAATATTTTTGAGGAGCTGGGACTGTGGCTTAGTGATAGAGCAATTGCCTAGCATGCACAAAAGCCCTGGGTTTGATTCCTCAGCACCACATAAACATAAAAAGCCGGAAGTGGTGCCTGTGGATCAAGGGGTAGAGTTCAAGCCTTGATCAAAAAGAAGCCCAAGCACAGTGTTCAGGCCCTGAGTTCCAGCCCAGGATTGACAAATGTGTGTGTGTGTGTGTGTGTGTGTGTGTGTGTACACAAATATATATACATTTGAGTGTCTACTTTTTACCTTGCCCTATACCATAAATTTGAATGTAAGGCATGGTATTTCTGCCTGTAATCCTAGCTACTCCAGAGGCTGAGGTCTGAGGATTGAAGTTCAAAACCAGCCCTGGCAGGAAAATCCCTATGAGACTCATTTATGCTTCCCACTGTAGTGGGGGTGGCAGGCATGTGCCACCACACCCAGCTTTTTCCTTTTGATACAAAGATGTCCTGAACCTTTTTTCTGGGCTGACCTCATACTGATCCTCTTAGGTGTGTTCAGTAGTGCATATTGTTGTACAACACTCCCAAACGCTTCATCTTGCAGAACTGAACTGCCCTACTCCGTGGCAACACCATTTTAACTTCTGTTGTTAATTGTTTGTGGGGTGTTTTCTTTGTTTTGTTTTGGTCATTCATGGGTCTTGAACTCTGGACCTGGGCGCTGTCCTTAAGCTCTTCAGCTCAAGGCGAGCATTCTACCACTTGAGCCACAGCGCCACTTCTGGCATTCTGCTGGTTAATTGGAGTTGTGGACTTTTCTTCCCAGGCTGGAAGGATCCTCAAATCTCAGCCTCCTGTATAACTAGGACTACAGGGGTGAACCCCTGGCACCCAGCCCATTCTGCTTTCTGACTTAAAAGTTTCACTGCTCCAAGTTCTCAGTGTATTGGTGGGATTAATAGTCTTCTTGTTTTCCCTGTACTGGGGTTAGAACTTAGAACTCAGGGCCTGGTGTTTGCTAGGCAGTTTTTCTACCACTTGAGGCACTCCCGTGGCTAAAGAATTTTTTTTCTTTTTTTTGGGGGGATGGGTGGTGGGGCCTGAGCTCTGGGCCTGGGTGCTGTCCCTCAGCTCTTCAGCTCAAGGCGAGTGCTCTACCCCTTGAGCCACAGCACCACTTCCGGCTTTTTCTGCTTATGTGGTGCTGAGGAATTGAACCCAGGGCCTCATGTATGCAAGGCAAGCACTCTACCACTGAGCCACCTTCCCAGCCCGAATCTTTTTTTTTTTGGTCCAGTCATGGGGCCTGAACTCTGGGCCTGGGTGCTGTCCCTCAGCTCTTCAGCTCAAGGCTAGTGCTCTATCACTTGAGCCACAGTGCCACTTCCGGCTTTTTTCTTTTTGCTTATGTGGTGCTGAGGAATCAACTCAGGACCTCAATGCAAGGCAAGCGCTCTACCACTGGGCCAACTTCCCAGCCCTAGAGTCATTTTTTTTTTTATCTCCCCTAATGTGGAGTGTTTGATACTCTAAACTTGTCATGCAAATATAAAGTAAGATTGTCAAAGAAAATGGAAGGCAAAATTCCTTAGAATCTTCTTCCTCTTTTCGGGCTGGGATGTAGCTCAGCGGCAAAGCGCTTGCCTAGCAAGTGCAACGTCCTGGGTTCGATCCCCAGTACCAAAAAAGAAAAGACAAAAAAAAATCTTCTTCCTCTTTCTAGAGCTAGGGGTGTGATCCTTCATTTTTCCACATGAAAGCCCCAAGTATGTTCTCAGAATTTACTCCATACTTCCATATGGCAAATGAGGGATCAGTGCTTCCATTCTGACTGTGTACCTTTAAGTGGTGTCCCCGCTGTTGTTAAGTGTAATAATGAGTAACATGCTTTTCTCCTAGTCCTCTCAGTTTACATTATACCCATTTAGGTCTGCAGTTGTTAAGACTCTTGTAAGCTAGTCTGTTTGGGTTCTAACATTGAAACTTTCCTCTAAAAGACAATTGTCAAACTTTCAGACTTATAAGATACAGTAGGAAAATTAAGGCTACTTTGAGATGTTAAAAGATAAGTTATAGGAAGTACTTAATCTTTTAGAGTCAAGGAGATAGGTGCACAAATTTGTGAGGCTTTCATAGTTTTTTTAAATTATTGTTAACCCTAATTTTTGTGCTTTATAATGTAATGTAAGAACTGCTTTTGCCTTTAAAAAATGACTTAGGGCAAAAATGACTTAGGGCCGGGTGCTGGTGGCTCACGCCTATAATCCTAGCTACTCAGGAGGCTGAGATCTGAGAATCACGGTTCAAAGCCAGCCCCAGCAGGAGAGACCATGAGACTCCTATCTCCAAAAAAAACCACCAGAAAACCGGAAGTGGCGCTGTAGCTCAAGTGGTAGAGTGCTCTCCTTGAGCTGAAGAGCTGAGGGACAGCGCCCAGGCCCAGAGTTCAAGCCCCACGACCGACCAAAAAAAAAAGAAAAAATTACTTAGGAGCAATCCTACGTTTGTAGATAGCAGTAAGAATAAAATACTTTGGGGCTTGTAACATGTTTCTGTAAAGGATATATGTGGTAAATAAGTGCATTTTTGCTATCTTATGTATGTGTGTTTTAGGAGATTGACTTATGGAGAATGTCATTACTGAGTGAAGAGTATAAGTACAGTTTGAAGTCCTTTTCAATTCAGCTGTACTTTGTAATATTGTGAAGTATTGAGAGCTGTAGTAATTCTTATAAAATAAAAACATGTTCTACGATCTCCTAAATCTTACATTTCTGTGATCTTAATTGTAGTCTCTTCTTTCTACAGAAATAGAAAGGTCGTTGATTATTCACAGTTTCAGGAATCTGATGATGCAGGTAAGTTTTGTGATTTCACAAATTATATATAGGTCTGACCAGTGGAGGAAATGACAATTTATATATTTTTTATATCATGCTTTAGGAATAAGTTGAATTTTTTATTTTTAGAATGTTTATATAACTTATCAGTGTCAAAGAGAACAAAAATTAAACTTGCCTGTGTTTTAGCTTTTTCTTTTCTCTTCTTTTTCTTTCTTTGCCAGTCCTAGGGCTTGAACTCAGGGCCTAGGCACTGTTCCTGAGCTGCTTTTGCTCAAGGCTAGCACTCTACCACTTGAGCCACAGCACCACTTCTGGCTTTTCCTGTTTATGTGGTACTGAGAATTGGAACACAGGGCTTCAGGCATGCTAGGCAAGCACTCTCCCATTAAGCCACATTTCCAGTCTCTGTGTGTGTGTGTATGCGTGTGTGTGCGTGTGCACACACAAACGCACATATGTACATACGTACTAGGGCTTGAACTCAGCATCTGGACTCTGTTTTGTAGCCTTTTTTGGGGGGGGGGTCGTTGGGCTTGAACTCTAGGCTTGGGCGCTGTCCCTGCACTCTTCAGCTCAAGGTGAGCGCTGTACCGCTTGAGCCACAGTGCCACTTCTGGTTTTCTAGTGGTTTATTGGAGATAAGAGTCTCATGGACTTTCCTGCCCAGGGCTGGCTTTGAACCTCGATCCTCAGATCTCAGCCTCCTGAGTAGCTAGGATTGCAGGCGTGAACCACCAGCTTCTGGCTTCTTGAAGCTTTTTGATCAACTACTTGAGCCAAGGTTCTATTTTAGGCTTTTTTTGTGATGAAACTGGAGATAAGGGCCTCATAGACTTTCCTGCCTGGGCTGGCTTTAAGCTAGTTGTCAGCCTTCTGAGTAGGTAGGATTCCAGTTGTGAGCCACTGATACCTGGCTCAGAAAGTCTTAGATCATGTTTTTAATGTCTTTTTTTTTTGGCCAGTCCTGGGGCTTGTGCTGTCCCTGAGCCTCTTTGTACTCAAGGCTAGCAGTCTACCAAGTGAGCCACAGCACCACTTCTGGCTTTTTCTGAGTAGTTTATCGGAAATGAGAATCTCACAGACTTTTTCTGCCCTAGCTGGCTTTGAACTGGGATCCTCAGATCTTATTCTACTGAGTAACCAGGATTACAGGGGTGAGCCATCTGTGCCCGGCTGCTCTTTTTTTCCTTACCTAATTTTACCTTACAAAGATAATACATTGGGCTAGGAATGTGGCTTAGTGGTAGAGTGCTTGCCTTGAGCAAAAGAAGCTCAGGGACAGTGCCCAGGCCCTGAGTTCAAGGCCCAGGACTGGCCCAAAAAAATTAGGTTAAGTGAGGTATGGCCAAGACCAGAGAGGTAAACGGCAAATGTTCTTCCTGATATGTGTTAGATCTGAAACACACTGGGATATGACAAATTACAGAGAACAAAACAGGATAGTTAGGAGAAATCACAGAGGTATAATATCCAAGGACCTCTTCAGATACATATGAAATAGAGGGGGGGGCGGGGGGAGGCTGGGAAGGGATGTAAAGGGTAAACAAAGGAGGAGGCTGCAATGCTTGATAAGAAATGTACTCATTATCTTGCCCATGTAATTGTAACCCCTCTGTACAGTATGTTCACAATAAAAAAAAAGAAATAGAGATACTGAAAAGAACTCCAAAGATAATAGAAACAAAATATTTTTTTCTTGTTTTTTCATTTACTGATGACTCTGTATTCTTTACATAAGGTATATTCATATACACATCTGTGGGGGGGGGGGAGAAGCATAGAATCAGAGGAAAAAAACAGTGAAAAAGTGCAGCAATGGTGAAAAGTGCAGCAGTGGAGCCCACTGGCTACACAGGCCACTATAGAAAGTGAGCTGAGAAACTGAAAGTGAACTGTGAGTGGAATGGGAAGGGAGGGAATAGGCGAGAATGAGGAAACAGATGATACTATGCAATAGAAAATGTACCTATTACCTAATGTATGTAAAACAACAATAAAGTAATTTAGAAAAACATTAGGATTTTACTTTCTAAAATGCTTATTAGCATAACCATACTACTGTAAATTAAATATGAAGATATTAAAACATAATTAAGTAATAGATTGTGAGAATCATAAAATGAGATATTTGCTGTAGATATATGAAGTATGTATGCATGAAGACTTGAGTAATCCATAAAAATCAAGAGCCAGAAGCTGGGTGTGGTGACTCATGCCTATAATCCTATCAGCCTACTTAAGAGACTGAGATCTAATGAACTCGGTTCAAAGCCCACCCAGGCAGGAAAGGCAGTGAGACTCATATCTCCAATTAACCACTCAGAAAATCCGAAGTGCTGCTGTGGCTGAAGTGATAAAACTTTGAGCAGCAGAGCTGAGGGACAGCACCCAGACCCAGAGTTCAAGCCCCATGACTGACCCTCCCTCCCCCCCCCCAGAAAAAAGAAAAAAAAAAGAGCCAGGTGCTGGTGGCTTATGTCTGTTATCCTAGCTACTCAGGAGGCTGAGATCTGAGGGTCATGGTTCAAAGACAGCCCAGGCAAGAAAGTCCATGAGACTCTTATCTTCAATTAACCAAAAGAAAACCAGAAGTAGAGCTGTAGCTCAAAGTGGTAGAGTACTAGCCTTGAGTGAAAAAGCTCAGGGGGATAGCACTGTGGCCCTGAATTCAGACCCCATGAGTGACCAAAAAAAAAAAATCAAAATGGGTGAGATGGGTAAAAATTGTTTTCAATGAAAGAAACCATTTAGGAACTTGTATATTGTTTACAGTTTGAATACCATGAAAGATAAATAACATAAGTAAATATAGTGGTGATTTAAACCTGTAAGATAATTATATTGAATTGAATTTGAAAAATTGCCTGTTTAGATGAAGATTATGGAAGAGATTCCGGCCCTCCTGCTAAGAAAATTCGATCATCTCCTCGAGAAGCTAAAAATAAGAGGCGATCTGGAAAGAATTCACAGGAAGATAGGTAGGAGTCATTATTTGTCAGCCTTGCTTGCTCTGTCACCAGCCTGAAATCCCCAGCAATCTGCCATCTCTAATCTCCATAAGTTTCTGGAAAGTACTTGTTATCTACTTGATGTTTTGCCTATTTCATATTCAGCTGTACTTCTGTGGCTACAGGCAACTACAACTCATTTGGTCAACCTTGAATCCAAGGTGATCACCAAGAATGCCTTTTCTGTTACCTTACATTTCTAACTTAGGCTGTGTGTTTCAGTTTGTAATTCGTTGCTTAAGGTTAGTATTGCCCCTTTGTTGTAGTGATAATAAAAAGGAAATTATTTCTGTTCCATTATAAATCACTAGTAAAATAAGGAAAGCTTGCAGAATATTAGTTTACCATCATCTCATAATCAGTTCTTTATTTAAATAGTGTAGTCAGCTGGATGCTGGTGGCTCAGGGCTATAATCTTAGGTACTCAGGAGACAGATCTGAGAGCTATAGTTCAAAGCCAGCCCAGGCAGTAAAGTTCATGATACTCTTTATTTTTAATCACCAAAAAGCCAGAGGTAGAGCTGTGGCTTGAGTGGTAGAGCAGCACTAGTTCTGAATAAAAAAAGCTCAGGGACAGAGCCCAGGCTTTGAGTCCAAACCCCAGGACTTCCACTCAAAAGGGAAAAACATAGTATAATAATTTTGGTACTTTCTTTTTACTTAGATGTTTTTTCTCTTGAGTTCTTCCTTTATTCTTTTTGTCTCTTTTCCTTATTCTCTATTCTTCTTTATTTCTTTGTCTCTTTTTTATCTTTCCATCCTTTCTTTACTGTTTCCTTCCCTTTTCTTTTTTTTCCTTTTGTGCTGAGGATGAAAGGACATGCCTTGTGCACTAGGCAGGTATGCTAGTTCATTGAGATACATCCCCTAACCCTCCTTTCTTTTAGCTTATAGTAAAATGTATTCACATGAGTTGCAATTTAGCTAATTACTTGTAGTGAAAGTACCATGAGACTAGGATAATGTAACTTCTGCAATTTTCTTTCAAGGTATATATACACTCTCAAAGTTAATATAGCGTAACTTCTTGATGATGATCCTTTAAGTCTCACAACACTTTTACTAGGTTAAGAACAGTTCAGTGATTTAGCCAAGGTAGCCAGCAGATGAAAAACATGTTGAAACCACAACCTGTTGAACCCCATTTTTCAATCCATTAAGCTCTGCCACTTCCATGATAACATGAATGCTAGTTTTTCTAAGTACCTTGTAACATAAAAATTATTTAAATATGTGCATTTATCTATTAGTTTTGGGCTGTTTTGTGTTGCTGACTTCTAATAGTGATGGAAAATTTCAGAAATGGGTTTTTCTGAAAAAAAAATCACAATTATGACATTGTAAGAGTTTCATAATGTTCCTCTAATTCAGTTTTAAATAGCAGCCCAACTTATAACTATTTTTCATTGTAGGGGCTGGGAAGGTGGCTTAGTGGTAGAGTGCTTGCCTTGCATACCTGAGACCCTGGGTTCGATTTCTCAGCACCACATAATCAGAAAAAAAAAGTGGGAAGTGACGCTGTGGCTCAAGTGGTAGAGCGCTAGCCTTGAGTTGAAGAGCTTAGGGACAGCGCCCAGGCCCAGAGTTCAAGCCTCACAACCAGACCCAAAAACAAACAAACAAACAGAACTATTTTTCATTGTATCCACTTCTGTTGCTCCTAAGAATGGGCTACTTATGGCCTGTTATTGTCATCAGTATGGTTGTATTAAACCTAAGGATTTTGTTTTTGTTGTTGCAACCACTTATATTCAGAACCTTTACCCAGTGAGCTTTATTTTTTTGTCAGTCGTGGGGCGTGAACTGTGGGCCTGGGAGCTGTCCCTGAACGCTTCAGCTCAAGGCTAGCACTCTACCATTTGAGCCACAGCACCACTTCGAGTTTTCTGGTAGTGAATTGGAGATAAGAGTCTCATGGATGGTCCTGCCTGGGCTGGCTTTGAACTGCAATCCTCAGATCTCAGCCTCCTGCGTGAGCCACCGGCACCCAGCCAAGCCTTGACAGAACTTTTTTCTTTTGGGTCTTGGGAAGCACTTTGTCTTCAATAGTGGATAAAATAAAATAAAGATTGTTGCTGGGTGCTGCTGGCTCATGCCTGTAATCCTAGCTACTCAGGAGGCTGAGATCTGAGGATCACAGTTCGAAGCTAGCCCAGGCAGAAAAGTCCCTGAAACTCTTATCTCCAATAAACCATTAGAAAACTGGAAGTGGCGCTGTGGCTCAAGCAGTACAGCACTTGCCTTGAGCTGAAGAGTGCAGGGACAGCACAGCGCCCAAGCCCAGAGTTCAAGCCCCAGGACCAACCAAAAAAATAAATTGCTCATGTCCTGTGAAGTGAGGACATATTAAAACACAACTTTTTCCAGCTTGTTGGAACATTTCACTTACAAGTGTTTTTCAGTGTTCTTCTCAGGTCAAAAGTCAGAAATCTTAATTAGGCTTTAAAGATTTTAAATGTTTACTTTTTCCTTATTGTCTTACAGTGAGGACTCGGAAGAAAAAGATGTGAAGACCAAGAAGGATGATTCTCATTCAGCAGGTAGCAAACTATTTTTAATGTAATATATACAAATTTTTAATGTAATATATACAAATTTATTCATACATTCATTAGACATTTTAACAAACAAATTTGTATGCCAGGCATTATTGCAGATACTAGTCTTACAAGAGTTTCCTTATTTATTTGTTTATTTATTTGCCAGTCGTGGTACCTAAACTCTGGGCCTGGGTGCTGTCCCTCAGCTCTTCAGCTCAAGGCGAGGCGCTCTACCACTTGAGCCACAGCATCACTTCCAGGTTTTTCAGCTTATGTGGTACTGAAGAATCGAACCCAGGGCCTCATGCATGCAAGGCAAGCACTCTTACACTGAGCCACCTTCCCAAGCCCCAAGAGTTTCCTTCTTTAGAGAACTAAAGTGCTTCTCTGTCCTGGTGGCTTATTGCAAAGTACATATGCTGAGTCTTGCCCCTGGTTTCTGATTTAGCATGTCTATCTTCAACAGATCTCTGTGAGCAGATGTAATGTTCACTTCTGATAACTTATACTTTTTTTTAATTGTTTGATATTTTAATCTTCTAAAATACTTTAATAATTATGTTAATATTGGTGAACTTACACTTTTATTTAATTTTAAATTTACCTTTTAAGAATGTAAAGTTTTGGGCTGGGAAGGTGGCTCAGTGGTAAAGAACTTTGCTTGCATGCATGAGGCCCTGGGTGCGATTCCTCAGCACCATATAAGCAGAAAAGGCCGGAATGGTGCTGTGGCTCAAGTGGTAGAGCTCTAGCCTTGAGCTGAAGAGCTGAGGGACAGCGCCCAGGCCTAGAGTTCAGGCCCCACAACCAACAAAAAACAAAAAAGAGAGAGAGAATTTAAAGTTTTTGGGCTAAGAATGTGGGTTAGTGTGGTAGAGTCCTTGTCTAACATGCATGAAACCCTGGGTTTTATACCTCAGTACCACATAAACAGAAAAAGCCAGAAGTGGTGCTGTGGCTCAAGTGGTAGAGCGCTAGCCTTGAGCAAAAGCAGCTCAGGAACAGTGCCTAGGCCCTGAGTTCAAGCCCTAGGACTGACAAAAAATAAAAGAATTTAAAGTTTTGAATGGTAACCCTTTGTGTAAGATAACAGCAAAAAAAGAATTGAAAGTTTTATTCCTTGTTGCTGCTAGGGACTTTTTTTTTTTTTTTTTTTTTTGCCGGTTGTGGGGGCCTGAACTCTGGGCCTGGGTGCTGTCCCTTGGCTCTTCAGCTAAAGGCTAGCGCTCTACCACTTGAGCCATAGTGCCACTTCCGGCTTTTTCTGCTTATGTGGTGCTGAGGAATCGAACCCAGGGCCTCAGGCATGCAAGGCAAGCGCTCTACCACTGAGCCACCTTCCCAGCCCGCTGCTAGGGACTTTTGACTTATATGCCCCTGGAGCTTTCTATTAATGAGATGACCTTTAGCTGAATTCACTCCACTGAGCTACGTTTTCTCCCTCTTGTTATTTAAGAGTACATTTGGCTGTTGACACTCAAAAGCTATTGTGTTAGGGGCTGGGAAGGTGGCTCAGTGGTAGAGTGCTTGCCTTGCGTGCCTGAGGCCCTAGGTTCGATTCCTCAGCACCACATAAGCAAAAAAGAAAAAAGCGGAAGTAGCGCTGTGACTCAAGTGGTAGAGCGCTAACCTTGAGCTGAAGAGCTATAGGATAGTGCCCAGGCCCAGAGTTCAGGCCCCACAACTGGACCAAAAAAAAAAAAGATATTGTGTTAACCTTTTACACTATCCAGTGATTCTGTGCGCAAAATAGTATGTACTTTCCTGCATTTGCTTTGTGAATCCTCATTTTTTTGTATTCTTCACTGTGGTTAAGCATATCCTACCAGGTAGGTTTAGAGTCTGCCAGGGTCTATTTTATTCTCCAGTTATTTCTGACTTTAGTTTCTAAAAACAGTGAATATAGATTTGAATGAAATTGAGAATTTTGTAGAAAGCATGTCTCCACACTTTAATTCATCTTGGTTACTGCTTCAAACTACATGCCAGCCAGTTGCTGGTGGCTCATGCCTGAGATCTGAGGATTGCTGTTTGAAGCCTGCCCAGTCAGGACAGTCAGTGAGACTCTTCAATTAACCGCCAGAAAACTAGGACAGGTACCGTGGCTCAAAGTGGTAAAGCAGTAGCTCTTCAGCACAAAACCTCAGGGATAGCACCCAGGCCATGAATTCAAGCCCCACAACCAATCCCAAAAAGAAACCTAAAACTACATGCCTAGCTGGGCACTGCTTACTCACTATAATCCTCACTACTCAGGAGACTGAATTCTGATTATTGCAGTTCGAAGTCCAGCCCAGGCAGCATAGAAAGTCCCTAAGAGTCTTAATCTCCAGTTAACCAGCAAAAAAACTGGATGTGGTGCTATGTATGACTCAAGTGGTAGAGTACTAGCCTAGAGCAAAAGTGAGCTCAGGACCAGCACCCAAATACCTAAGTGATTTTATGTGTCATAGGTGCATAGTTTTATAGTTCTCTGAATTTTAACATCCCTTCCCTGTGTTTTACAGGGCTTTGTTTGAGACAGGTTCTTGCTGTGTAGTCCAGAAAGGGGTCTAACTCTGAATCCTCCAACCTCAGCCTCAACAATAACTAAGATTCCATTCATAAGCTACCATGTTTGGCTTTCAGCAAATTCTAAGGGTTGAATTTACTCTTGTAGAATGATACAAGGCTGCAGGTTTATCCTCTATTGATTGCTTTATTTGTTACTCTGTGTACGTGCATGCAGGTGTGTGCGTGCACATGTGGACACCTCAGTACTTTAGGTATTCAGGCCCCAGGTACTGTCCCTTAGGTTTTTTCTGAAGGCTGTGGTATTCTACACTTGAGCCACACCTCCACTTCATCTTGTTGGTAGTTAATTGGAGATAAGAATCTTACACTTTTCCTTCCTTGGCTTGCTTCTGTGATCCTCAGGTATCAGCCTCCTGAGTAACTAGGATTGATTATAGGTGTGAGCCACTGGCACCTAGTATTGTGTTTGCTTTTTCAGGCAGCTGTCTCTAAGAAAATTCTTTGGTCATTGTATCACAATAACTTCTACATTGCAGAGGAGAGTGAAGATGAAAAAGAAGATCATAAAAATGTGCGCCAGCAACGACAGGCAGCATCTAAAGCAGCTTCTAAACAGAGAGAGATGCTCATGGAAGATGTTGGCAGTGAGGAGGAGCCAGAAGAAGAAGATGAGGCACCATTCCAGGAGAGTACGTGAACTTCTTTGTTTTTTTGTTGATGATTGTAATTTCTGGATTACTTTGGCATATCCTAAGATGCTAAATGTTACATCCAGTCCTTTAAATTAGGGAGATACTTCCTGTTAAAAGAGGTAACTGCACTGATAATATGTTAATATTTTAAAATGTTCAGATGCCCACCATTTGTAATGGTTGCACTCTATTTAAAGACATTTGTGTTTAAACACTGACCAAGTACTCGCAGTAAGTTAAAATGGATGTGTGACTGTGGTTTGTATAAATTGACCAAATTTACATGTTTTACAAGTTACCCAGATTATATGTCATGTATTTTTGTTTTATGAGTAGTTTTCCTAGTTGATGTATTCAAAGTTGGATCTAAAGTACCAGGTTGGATCAGTTTCATTTCCCTGATCTCAACCAAGTACTGCCTGAAAATGATGGAATTGCCAAAAGTCTCATTTAGTTATTTGATACTCCTTTTGTTGTTGTTTTGCTTTGTCTTTCGAGATAAGATATCATATAGCCCAGACTGACCTCCAACTCATAATCTTCTGTCCTTGGCCTCCCAAGGGTTGAGATTACAGGCATGTATCACCATATCTGACCTGATTTCAGTTTTTATTCAGATTGTCTTATCTCTTTCAATTTCAGCCAACTCTTGAAAAAGTCCATTGTGCATTTCCTGTTAGGTACATGCTAAATACATTTTTACAATGGGACCAGTGACAGTTCCATCCAATTTGGTAGACCAGCTACACAAAGAATCCGGTGCTCGGGGCTGGGAAGGTGGCTCAGTGGTAGAGAGCTTGCCTTGCATGCCTGAGCCCCACATAAGCAAAAAGAAAAAAAAAAGCCGGAAATGGTGCTGTGGCTCAAGTGGTAGAGTGCTAGCCTTGAGCTGAAGAGCTGAGGGACAGCACCCAGGCCCAGAGTTCAGGCCCCAGGACCAACCAAAAAAATAAAAAAAAAGAATCCGGTGCTCAACTCCCAAATCTCATCCTCTAATCATTCTTTACACTCTTTCCTTTGTTCATTTGGAAGGATTTGTACATTAAGTTGGATATTGAAATTCTTCTTTTCTCTCAGAAGATTCCGGCAGTGATGAAGATTTTCTAATGGAAGATGATGATGATAGTGACTATGGCAGTTCAAAAAAGAAAAACAAAAAGATGGTTAAGAAGTCCAAACCTGAAAGAAAAGAAAAGAAAATGCCCAAACCTAGGCTAAAGGCTACAGGTGAGCTCTGCAGAAGTGAAACTAAGTCACTTCTTTTCCAGTCTCTCTCTCTCTCTCTCTTCCCCCTCCCTCTCCCACCCCCCCTCTCTCTCGTGTGTGTGTGTCATGGTACCTGAACTCTGGTCCTGGGCGCTGTCCCTCTTCAGCTCAAGGCTAGCACTCTTACCACTTAAGCCACAGCACCACTTCCAGCTTTTTCTGCTTATGTGGTACTGAGGAATCGAACCCAGGGCCTCATGCAAAGCAAGCACTCTACCACTGAGCCACCTTCCCAGCCCTGACCTTTTCAAATCTTTAAGAGCCAATATTTTCTGCTCAGAAATTCATTAGACCTCAGTATTATCTTTAAAAAGAAAAATTATTACTTTTTTGGGGGGGGGGTCTGGTCGTGGGGCCTGAACTCTGGGCCTGGGCGCTGTCCCTCAGCTCTTCAGCTCAAGGCTAGTACTCTACCACTTGAGCCACAGCACCACTTCCAGCTTTTTTTTCTTTTTGCTTATGTGGTGCTGAGGAATCGAACCCAGGGCTTCATGCAAGCAAGGCAAGCGCTCTACCACTGAGCCACCTTCCCAGCCCCTAAAAAGAAAAACTTTTAGTAAGGGTTTTTGTTACATATCAGGATGAATGTAGGGAGAAAGAGAAAAGGACATTTCTTGCTCCCTGTATATAAAATGCAAGTGAAAGATCCAAAACAACACTTCCTGCCAGGTGCCAGTGATTTGTGCCTACTCAGGAGGCTCAGATCTGAGGATCATGGTTTAAAGCCAGATTGTGAGTCTCTTCTACAATTAATCAACCCCCAAAAGCTGAAGTACAGCAGTGGTTCAAGCAGTAGTGCACTAGTCTTGAACTCTTGAGCAAAGAAGCTCAGGGACTAGTGCCAGTGCTCAGGCCTTGAGTTCAAGCCCTAGGACCTGCTCAAAATAATAAATAAGAGGTACTTCCTCTCTGTAACTTTTATACTTTCTTAGCTGGGTAAATCCAGACAGTGATTCCTTAGATAATGCTTTGGGCTGAGTAAGATGGGCAAGGCCTGTGTAAAACCCAGGACATCACTTATTAATACATAATTTAGCTCTTCCAAAAGTCTAGTGGACTTAGTTCTGTTCTTCAAATACTACCTTGTATGAGCAAAATTTGGTAATGACCTCTTCATTTCAGCACAGTAATAGGACCAGTGTCAACCTAGTTATTACTGTCCTATTATTCTCCAACTGATAGCACAGTCCTTGCATCTCTTGAAATACTTTAAATGCACTGGCCTGTGATACTGCATTGAGAAGTAGCTGTGGCTCAAAGTGATAGAGTGATTGCCTTTAGCACAAAAGATCAGGAACAACGTCCAGTCCCTGAGTTCAAGCCCCACAACCTACAAAGACAAACAAAAAAGATCAGTGTAAAATAATACAAATACATCACTGTGATACTATATTCAATTTGATGTTCTGATCTTTTATCCTCTCTACTGTCCAGGCATCTCCCCTCTCCCCCCCCCCACAAAGACAGTATAATCCTGGTAGAGAAAAAAATAATAAAACCACATTAACATTAAAGATTGATTTTCCTGGTGGTGTCTGTCAGTACTGACCTAGTTGGAGCCAGTTTGTTAATTAAATCAAGAATCTAGATTAGCTTTATGTATATGTGATTTTTATCCTGGCCAGTATTATCAGTGACTTTTAAAAAAAAACTTTTACTTACCTTTTCTTTTTTGTATGGATGGTAGAACTATCAAGCTATTTAATGGCATCAATTTCTAATGAGAATAAGTTATATCTTTTCTTACTACAGGTGATACTTATATTCTCTATCATCATGTTTACTTCTTTTGGGGGGGGGGGTCTGGTCCTGGAGCCTGAACTCTGGGCCTGGGTGCTGTCCCTCAGCTCTTCAGCTCAAGGCTAGCGCTCTACCACTTTTTTTTGCTTATGTGGTACTGAGGAATAGAACCCAGGGCCTCATGCATGCAAGGCAAGCGCTCTACCACTGAGCCACCTTCCCAGCCCATGTTTACTTTTTTTTTGGGGGGGGTCCAGTTGTGGGGCCTGAACTCTGGGCCTGGGCGCTGTCCCTCAGCTCTTAAGCTCAAGACTAGCGCTCTACCACTTGAGCCACAGCGCCAGTTCCGGCTTTTTGCTTATGTGGTGCTGAGGAATCGAACTCAGGGCCTCATGCATGCAAGGCAAGCACTCTACCAGTGAGCCATCTTCCCAGCCCCCCATGTTTACTTTTTTAAACCATTACTATTCAATGTAATATTAGGATATTTAAATAAGTAAAGCTGAACCAGGTGCTGGTGGCTTGCGCCTATAATCCTACTTACTCTCAGAAGGCTGAAATCTGAGTTGTGGTTTAAAGCTGTCCCAAACAAGAAAGTCCATGAGACTCTTACCTCCAGTTAGCCACCAGAAAACTGGAAGTGGCACTGTGCTCAAGGTGGTAGAGCTTAGGAACAGCACCCAGAGCATGGCCTGAGTTCAAGCCCTACAGCAGAAGAGAGGGGGGGGCAGGGGGGCTCACCTATATAATTCCAGCACTTGGGAGGCATGGCAGGAGAAATGAGAGTTCCAGGCCAACCTAACTAGCACCCCACCCCTGCCCACTCAAAACAAAACAAAAAATCTGGATAAATATTGATAAGGATAGGTTTAGCTGGGTTTTGTTGTTGTTGTTGTTGTTTTTGGGGGGGAGGGCAGTTGTTGGGCCTGAACTCTGGGCCTGGGCAGAGTACTCAAGGCGAGTACTCTTCCACTTGAGCCACAGCACCACTTCCAGCTTTTTTTGCTTATGTGGTGTTAGGGAATCAAACCCAGGGCCTCATGCATGCAAGGCAAACACTCTACCACCGAGCCACCTTCCCAGCCCTAGCTGGTTTAAACATTATGAATTTAAAAAATCACATGGAACCCAGCATAAATATGTAATTTTCCTGTAAGCTTAAATTTTCAAATGATTGAGCATATTGGAGCAATTTTATGATGATCTGTTTAAAAATTGAGATACTTGTTTAATTTGTTACATGTAGGTACAATATTGCTCTTCTTTATAAAAAGTAAGTTGGAGGGGTCAGGAATGTGGTAGCATGTATAAAGAAAGCCCTGGGTTTGATTCTTCAGTACCACATAAACAGAAAATGCTGGAAGTGGCACTATGGCTCAAGTGATAGAGTACCAGCCTAGAGCTAAAGAAGCTCAGGGACAGTGCTCACGCCCCGAGTTCAAGCCCCAAGCCTGGCAAAACAAAACCAAAACAAGTAAGTTGGGATGCTTTTTATAAGGTGGTCTTTCAGGTATTTATTTTAAATTTTACTAAATGTTCTTGTGGCATTCCTTAATTTGTTTCTTTTCAGTGACACCAAGTCCAGTGAAAGGCAAAGGGAAAGTGGGTCGCCCCACAGCCTCCAAGGCATCAAAGGATAAGACTCCTTCTCCCAAAGAGGATGATGAGGAACCGGAAAGCCCTGAAGAAAAGAAGACCTCTGCAAGCCCTCCTCCTGAGAAATCGGGGGATGAAGGGTCTGAAGATGAAGCCCAGTCTGGGGAGGATTAAAAGTGATGATAATGTGGGGAGAGATTTTATTAAAAAAAGAAAAAAGAAAAAAAGAGGGTAAAAAAGAGAACCTACTTAAGATAGAATATGGTTCATGGTTTTGGCTAAGGCTTGACTTTAACGGGCTTTCAGTGCTTTTTCCCATGTTTTGAAATAACCCTCTCCCCTTTCTCTCTTCGCTCTCACCATTGCATATGAAGTGTTTAAGTACCTTTTTGTTTATTGGTCTTCTCTTTGCCACCACCTCCTCCATTTCCCCAATGAAAGCCATGTCAGATTAATCACTGGGTTGACCGCTTCATCTTTTTATTTTTAATGGAAGGTATACTGCAGTTGTAAAGCAATAAGATTTTAGATGAATACTATGGAACTTTGCTTTTGGCTAAAGAATAGTGAGTTGGACTGTCATCAAAATCATAGAAGGTTTTAGTTAAAAATGATTGCTTCTTTCTCTGCCTGAACTTAAAAAAAAATCAGTTGTCATCTAATAAGGAGTTTATATAAATCTGTATACATACATGTAAGAATCTTAAAAAATCATGATTCTAAACTTCCACCGATGAAGCAGGTAGGAGATAAAGATGAGTTCTGAATCGTTACTAAAATTCTTCATGTTTTTTACCTTGGGTCATGGGAGGGAATGGGTTACCTGGTCTTGTTTGTGATTGTGGGTTTTCTTTTTTATTTCATCACTTGTTATCTCAAAAAGACTTGGAGTCAGTGATCCTTTTATCCTGCTACAGTCTTTAAGGAACTTAAAAAGAAAAAACAGGGGCTGCCAAAAATGAAATCACTTGATTTCATATTTCATTCTTTTTAATGGTTCATATTTTTTAAATATATATGTATCCTGTTTTTTGGATAAAATTTTACCAAGAATCAAAAAAAGACACCTTAGAATTTAAAGGACAAGATAAATCTACATATTACTGTGGATTTCTTCTCAAACTGACAATGTTTAGGTTTTAAAGAAATAAAGTTCCAGTTAATGTGAAGCTCAATACAAAAGGTTGAGACTTTTCCTTTATTAAAACTGAGATGAAATTCTTTTTATGTTATCATTGTGCATTTAGATCCCATGAAGTATGCTCTCTTTTTGTTTATAGATACAATATTCTTTTGTTTTATACCCCCACTCTTTTCTTTGTAGAAACATGGTGTGACGTACATCTCTGCTTCCTGCTGCTAACCTAGAACACCACTGCACATTCTAGCCCACTCCCTGCCAGCTCTACTACAGGACTCTTCCTGGGTCTGTTCTCTATTTACTCACAAGATGGGAAGTATGTGACATACTGCTTTTGTATATGAAGTGTTTTTAGTATTGAGTTTACTTGTTTTTAAGTTGGTCTGAACTCTTATCTATTGCTCATGTTTGTTAAAACAAGAGACAGACTAAAGAGTATAAAAATGATGCATTTTAGGATGCCTTTGTGCCATTGATAACACATTTTTTACATGCCTTAGGTAAGCAGGAGATAGTTCTGTAGATTTGATCCTCCATATCCTACACCATGAGCTACTTGGGAGCAGAGTTGAGGAGTCCTAGTAAGCCAATAAATTGAAATTTTAGTGAAAACTAATACCTATATTTTACCTGCACTTAGTGTAAATTTGCTTCTTCAATATCCTACTTTAATAGTTTTCTTTTTTGTGTTTTAAGGGACAGCGTGGGTTTTTTGACAGTTTCCCTTATAGGTATTCTTAAGACAAAAGGTTCTTTAAGGAGTATTTTTACTCTGATTTTTAAAACAATTTAGAAAACATTCTTAACTCTGATTTTTAAAAACAAAAATACCCAGTGGCATAGTTATTTCATTGTTGCACCATGTTAAAGAATGGATAAGACAAGACTTGAACATAGTTGCACATGGACTATTATCTAAATATGATGGTTAAATTGATAGTTTTGAACTCTGTATAATGAATTACTGTGGTCTAATGTGTTTGTCAGATAACCATTTCTAAGAACAAAAACCTTTGTGTTTATAAAGGCTCGTGAGTGTTTCTACCATGCACTTCCGGTTTTGGGGGCGTTACAACTAAGTCTTACTTTTCTAGTAATAATTGGGCTTTTTTTAGGCTGTGTCACAAAGTTTGACGGGGGGAACACTCACTTTAATACATTAATATATACCAACGTGTATGTGACGTGCACATACTTCAGAAGCAATCCTGTCTTCTAAGTTACTTGTGTGCATTTGATTGGGCTTTTTGTTTAGGGTCCCTTTTAAAATTAATTCATTACATTAAATATATTTTCTATTTCTAATAGGCTAGACCAAAATATCTGTGTCCTCAAGGTCCAAATGACCTTTATTTTCTCTACTTATTGATGATTTAAAATATTCTTAGTCTTCCCCTATCATGCATGCAAATAGGACAGTTATGTGACTCAACTGGAATTAGGTGCTCAATAGTCAGGTCTGAAGCATTACTGCTATAAGCCAATAAGTGACTAGCCGTTGGCACCTCCCTTAACTTAACTCCCTCTTTTTCTAGTGTGCCTATGGTGAAGTGACAGTAGCATTTGCTGGCTTAGTTTGCAGTGCTCAGGAAGTGAGACATTAACTTTGGAGGTGCTTGTTTATGTTATCTGAACCCTCTAAGATAGCTCTGCTAGATTTACCTCTATAATACAGATTTCAGCAGCTATGCTTACCTAACACTACATTCTAGGTCTTAAGGTTGTTTCCAGTCTTCCCTCCCCTGGCTAGAAATAGGTAGCATCTGTCTTATCCAGTAGTAACTTATTGCTGGCTTTAGCCTTCATCTCAGATCAAAATTGGGGGGGTAAGCCCACAGGATAAGTTTTAATTACAATGATGGTAAATATGTCCACTTTGTAAAACACCTCATGCCACTCCATAATGAGGTGTTTACTCTTTAGGAAGGCAGTGAGAGGAAAGCTTTTCATCTTAGATAGTACTTTAGTTCTCTTGAAGGAACTTTTGAGAGTGATTTTTTTTTTTCCTCATAGTACTGCTTTGTCCCCCAGTTCATTCTCAGATTCAATACATGTTAGAACTGGTTCAAATAGCATTTTCTTGCTTTTAACAATTCAAATGAATTTGATGTTATAATCTAGATATAATCAGATATTATCAACTAAACTGAATTTAACATTTTAATAGTTCTTTCTATGTCCATAAACATTCAGGTAACATGGGGCAGGAAATAGTGCTTTTCTTTCAACAAACTTCAGTTTTGGAGTTTCTGTGAGAGTATTAGAAAGACAGGAGCTACAGGAAAGGCATTAGCAAAGATCATAGGCCACTGTTGCTGCTGTAAAGAACAAGTGACCGTTCTTTCTTTGCCTTCATTGCCAGTGGTTACACTGAAAAAAATCTACCACCTTAGGAGTCTGGAAAGTACAAAATATGGGCTGTGGTCTCTGTGGCATTTGACCAAGTTATCTTAAATATACTTCCTGGCAAAGGGTAAGGAAAACTAAAGCAAGCTGTTTGCTCTGCAGGGTAAAATCTTGCCCTTTTCTCTGTGGATGAAGCTGAGTTTACTTGAAAATTGAGAGGTGGTTTATTGTTTAAATCTTAGGCCATCAAGTTTCCATTTAAACTAATTTTCCCTTTGTCTTGGACAAACAATACATAATTCTTTTGGAATATCAAATTCATAAATTTTACTTTTGTTCAAAGCCTAACACAAATCACAGTGGTGCTGATTGTGATAACCACTATTGGGAAAATCCCATCCATATACCTGTCTGTAGCCAGGCCAGTGGAGTGGCGGAACTGATGATACCTGTTTTGAGCATGCCCCGTGTGGCTGGTAGAATGCCACCGTTGTGCAGACACTTTGTACATCAGGGGTGAGGGAGGATTTTCTAGATTGGGGGGGGAGTAAAATTGGGATTCTGTTTTGTTCCTTTTTTGGTGGGGTGTGGGAGTACAGTACTCAGTTTATGCCCTAAAATAACGTGTAAAAACCCCTGAAGTATTGTATGGGTATGGGTGTGTGTGTGAGTGCATTTGTATATGTCTGGCAATTAAACCTTTGTCTTCTGAAAATTAGTGAATCCTTTTTTTTTCTCCAGAAGTATTTGTTGGAAGATTTGTAAATAAGAGCTCTACTTAAGTCTGTTTACCATGAATGTGTTGCAGCAAACCTTATACACCTAATTCCTATGAGACTTAAGGAAAGACTAAGACTTACCAGGTTAAGCAGCAGCCAAGTTCTCTGTAATTGTTTGCCTTGATTCATCTTTTAGTCTGCATTATGCCAGCTCTAAAACTCCCAGTCTTGTTTTAGTCCTTAATCTTTTCTGTTCTAAGCAGGAAGGGTAAAAGAGGAACCTGCTTAACTGTATTAATTCATTAGTCCATGGCTGAAATCAGGCCTCCCCTTTTTCATTCATCCTGCCATGTCACTAGATACATGATCAGACACCGGAGGGTTGGGCATTCTTGCAATACCTTAACAGTGCTGAAATCTACAGCATGGTACTAAGGAAGTTAAAGTTTGAATGTAACCACTTTATTTAAAAGTTTTTTTCCCTTTAATTTAAATGAAATGGGGTTGAAGTGAACATGATTTTGTTAACCATGTTCGTGAATTATAGATACAACATGAATTGGTAGAATTTGTGTGATGATCTTTTGTGATACTTAATTTTTACATATCCCAGTCTCTGTATGTATCTGCATAAACAAAACAAATTCCTGCTTTGCTTTTATTGAAAGGTTTCCAGGACTGTGTGTCTGCTCCTGAGCTTTGTTTTCAGTATGTGTATCCTTTGCTTGTATTTTGTATTAAAAAGAAAAAGAACCCATTATTGTTGAGCATGTTGGCATTGTCCCCTTTACTTTTTCCTCCCTCCTTTGGGGACATATGGAGCAAGTTAATCTTTTTCTGTATCTTTTTTTTTTCCTTTTGTAAACTTTTTTGTTTTGTTTAAAAATGGCTTTATAAAAGGGCTTTTATAACCCATATGTGTGCTCTGTGTACTTCTTATGGTACTTGAAAGCAAATACACTGACCTGTACATCCGATTACTTTGGCTATCAGCTTCTGATATACAGCCCAACTTTGGGGGAAACTCCCAGATAATTTTGAAACTTTAACATGATCACCCCTGTTGTTAGAAATACATCTTGCTTCCAGAGTCAGTACTTAAGACCATGGAATCAAAAGCAGTGGGTAGACTTTTTGGTGCTTAAGGGGGAACTAAACTGTTTGAGGGTACCTAATTAACATTTTTCCTGTTGATATCCAAAGCTAAGGGGTTGTAGAAGGAAAAGTATTTTAATAGCCAAGTATAATGGAAGAGGGTTTTTTGTTTCTAAAACATTCAATTTGATTTTTTTTTTTTTTGGGTCCGGTCATGGGGCCTGAACTCTGGGCCTGGGCGCTGTCCCTCAGCTCTTCAAGTCAAGGCTAGCGCTCTACCACTT